CCTTTCCCTTGCTGATTAGCGACCCCACCCTCTTGGCAAAATCCTGGGATCCCCAATCTCCTCCCTCCGGCTTGCCTCGAATTCCAGCAGGCTTCCTGGAGGCCGTTTCACCACCGTCCCAGCTCCTGCCTTTCCTCCAGGCCTCGCCAGCACCTGCCTGGAACATCTCGACAGTCTCCCACCATGTCTTGTGCTGGCAAACCATCTTTCTCTGGCTACAAGCACAAGCCTCCGGGCCTGAACAAGATGCGAGTCTACCTTAAAGCAGACAAAGCAAACAAAAGAGCAAAACAAACAAGAGACGCTTCAGTGGGAAGGAAAACATGAAAAGAACACAAACATCACTACAGAAGTCAACTTCTCTACAAGAGAATGTGGAACACTTCCTCCACTATCTGACCCCAGAGCAGCTTCCTGCCTCCTCCCCAGTGCCCAGCACGACAGCCGCTCAGCCACTCAGCGTGGCCCCTTCTCCTTTGCCAGAATACCTCTCCTATCTGTGTATTTCTACTGCTTCTCTAAGGCCCCCAGAGCCAGCCAGCCTTGCCCACACCTGAGCTCCCGTTACCCTTCCCAGGCCAGGTACAGGGGTGGTTGTGTTTTTCTGCTGCCCATGGCAGTTGGAGGCCAAGGGCCCTGGGCTGTTGTAGATTCAATAGAAAGCAATGAATCAGCTGGTCCTTCCCATTAACTCCTGGTTCTCCAGCAGGACACCCTAGAGGCACGAATGGGATGATTCTGCAGTCCCTGCTAACTCTGAAATTCCCTAATGCTGCGGCTTAAGGTTGGGCACCCACACATCACCCTGCTTTCAAGTCTTTCCCAACTAAAGAGGAAAAGAAACAAACAGAAAACTTTTTTTTTTAGACGGGGTCTTGCTCTGTCTTCCAGAGTCCAATGGCACAATCTTGGTTCACTGCAGCCTCCGCCTCCCGGGTTCAAGTGATTCTCCTGCCTCAGCCTCCCAAGTAGCTGGTACTACAGATGTGCACCACCACACCTGACTATTTTTGTATTTTTCAGTAGAGATGGGGTTTCACCATGTTATCCAGGCTGATCTTGAACGCCTGACCTCAAGTGATCCGCCCACCTTGGCCTCCCAAAGTGCTGGGATTATAGGTGTGAGCCACCGTGCCTAGCCAGAAAACATTTTTTTAAATGTTTCTGCACCAGAAGTTCTCAAAGTATGGCCCAAGGATCTCTGGAGGTCCCCAAAAGCTTCTCAAGGGTCTGTGTTTGTCTTTTTTTACTCTCATTTCCTCATGAGTGTTCAGTGGAATTTTTCAGAGCCTAAATGATATGTGAACTTGTAACAGATTAAATGCAGGAGTGGGTAAGAATCTGGCTTCTATTAAGTCAGACATTAAAAATATCAAACAATGCCATTCTTTTCACTAAGCTTGTTTTGCAAAATAAAATTATTTTTCTTTTAAAAACATGTCGGCATGTAACGGGTCTATGTTTATTATTATTATTAGAGGTGGGTTCTTGCTATGTTGCCCAGACTAGATTTGAACTCCTGGGCTCAGGTGACCCTCCCTTAATCTCCCAAGTAGCAGGGACTACTGGTGCACACCACTGTACCAGCTTTTGACTTTATTTTTTTATTTTTAATTTAGCTAATAAATGTTTTAAACTTCTTAATTTCATTTTCTTTTCTTTTCTTTTTGCTTTTAGAGGCGGGTTCTCACTATGTTGCCCAGGCTGGTCTGGAACTCCTGGGCTCAGGCAGTCCTCCCACCTCAGCCTCCCAAAGTGCTGGGATTACAGGCATGTACCATCACGCCTGGCTAATTTTTTGTCTTTTTAGTAGAGATGGGAATCAACCATGTTGGCCAGGCTGGTCTCTAATGCCTGGCCTCAAGTGATTCTCCTGCCTTGGCCTACCAAAGTGCTGGGATTATAGGTGTAAGCCACCGCACCCGGCCTCTACTATAGTAAATGTTAATAACTATATCCCAGATAAACAAAAGCTCTTGGAGTCCTCCACAATTTTTCATTTGTGAAGGAGTCCTGAGACCCCTGCGCCTCCCATGGCCTCAGTTATCTCTCTGTTTCTCTCTCTTCTTAGCAACAACGTTTCCTGAAAGCTGCTCCCCGTCCCACTGGCTCCTCAGCCCTGCCCCGTGGCTTCCATACTGTTCCTGAAATTGCTCTCACTGAGGCCTCAGGGACCCCCAGCGTTTCATCCAGTGGACGCTCTTCCAAGCTCTTTTCCCTTGACATCTCAGTATGACCATGTTGTGCGCCTCCCAGAAACCCCTTCCACCCCGGCACTCCGCACACCACCCTCTCCTGGTTCTCCGCCTACCTCTCCAGCGCTTGTTCCTGATGCCTCTTCTTGCTTTGCTCAGACCACTGGGGCTGGACTCCTCGGGGCCTAACTTTGCCCTGTTCTCCTCTCTCTCCCCTCCCAGGGCTTTAAGCCCTGTCTCCACATCTATGGTTCCCAAGGCTCTAACTCCAGCCCAAATTTCTCTCCTGACTCCCACACCAACATATCCAGTGGCCCTGAACATCCCTGTGGAAGTCGCCGCTCCCCACATAGGCACCCCTAACTGAAACGCAAGGCTATCTCCTCCCACCCCTTCCAGATCTGCCACTGCCCCAGCCCTACTGTCTCTACCCTCCCTTCACTCTTTTTATCCAAGCAGCCACCAAATGCTGTCAACCTCACCCCTAAACCATTCTGCAATCCCTCCCCTATCCATTCCCGCTGGCATGCCTCGGCTTGGGCCCCCTTCACCTCCCTCTGACCTCTCTCCACCAACCTGACTTCGGCCAGTGTTCCCTCTTAAGCACATCTCTGCCCTGCTCAGCATCAACCAGAGGCCTCCATTGACCCAGGAGGAATGCTACCCGCAGCAAGGCACAGTGTAGTTCCCCGGGCCGGCAGTCCTGCTGCCTGTCGGGCTCATGTCCCCTGCCCGGGGCCGCTCTGTTCCAGCTGGTCTGACCTTGCCTCCCCTCGGGCACATGCTGTTCCCTTACTCTCTGTTCCTCAGAGGCCCCTTCTCAGGTTCTCTCTCCCAGAAGGCCCAGAAGGCCCTCCCTGACTGCCCTGCTCAAGTCAGGAGCCCTTTCTGGGTGCTCAAAGCCCTCTTCTCCCATTCCATGCTGAATTGTCACGCTGTTTCTAGACTCCACGTTCTTTGAGGAGGAGAAGTTCTTTTTTTTTTTTTGAGACAGAGCCTTGCTCTGTCACCCAGGCTGGAGTGCAGTGGCACAATCTCAGCTCACTGCAACCTCCGCCTCCTGGGTTCAAGCGATTCTCCTGCCTCAGCCTCCTGAGTAGCTGGGATTTCAGACATGCACCACCATCCTCAGCTAATTTTTGTGTTTTTAGTAGAGATGGGGTTTCACCATGTTGGCCAGGCTGATCTCGAACTCCTGACCTCGTGATTTGCCTGCCTCAGGCTCCCAAAGTGCTGGGATTACAGGCATGAGCCACTGTGCCCAGCCGAGGAGGAGGAGTTCTTTACCACTGTATCCCCAGTGCCTGGAATGGTATATGGCACACAGTGGGAGTTTTAGGAAATACTTGCTGATCGAATGGCTTGAAGGATGTGAGTCCCCCACTGTGCAGCTGACAAGCAGCCCTCCCCATCAGCAGCTCCCAGGATGGAGCAGGGCTCTGCTCTGGCTGTCTGGCGAGAGGCCCAGGAAGTGTAGGAGGCAGCTGCCCAGGGCTCCCTGCCACCTGCTGCCTCCTACTGTTGTGTTGCCCTCACCAGGCTCCCAGAAGAACCTGGCTGGGCTCCATTCTTCCCATCAATGGCCAAGACACGAGGTCACCAAGACATGAGCACACAGCCCAGCCATGGCACCCTCCCCAGGCATAATAGCTGTCCAACTTGATCGGAGTCGACCCCACTGGGGACACCCAGACCAATCCAGGACATCAGCCACAATAACAGCAGCAACGCATCCCACCCAACACATCATCCCATGGCATTTTCCCCTCATAGAGAGTGAACTCGTGCCCAGAGGGCTGAAGGCTTGTCCCAAGGTGACTGGACAATGAAGAGGAGGCTGGGTTGGACTCTGAAGCCTTTTTTTTTTTTAATTTCCTTTGTATTTTTTATAGAGATAGGGCCTCACTATGTTGTCCAGGCTGGTCTTGAATTCCTGGGCTCAAGCAATTCTCCCACCTTGACCTTCCAAAATGCCGGGATTATAAGGCATGAGCCACCATGCCCAGCCCTTGGCCTCAAACTCTTCTGCTGCTAAAGCCTGTCATTTTGGCTTTTCCCCATTCTGCAAGTCCAGGGGTCGAGTAGTGCTAAAAGGCCACTCCTGATGAGGAGCTCAGGGCCAGGCTGAGATCCTGGAGCTGTGATCTGTCCTCAAGGGCTAGGACAAGAAGAGCATCCGGGTACAGGCAGGGGGTAAACAGGCAGGAGCCTGGGGCCTGCACTCCAGTGTGGGTGAGCCAGGGCAGGTGACGGTTATGGGGAAGGCTCAGGCTACACCACGGCCCCAGAGCACCTGGACTCTGAAAGTAAAAGGGACACCAGGTTTTCCAGGCCACAGGTCCCTGCTGTCACCCTTGCCTTAGAAGTTCTCATCATCCTACCCTAACCTACATTCTCTAGTAGGATGCTAGGGGTCTAGCCTAGCTGTTAGGAAGAGGCAGCAGCTGGCCCTACAGCTGGAGGAAGAGCTGGTCTGAGCTACAAAGTCTGCCAGCCTCCCTGGGGCAGCTGAGCAGGATGAAACAGAGTCTGGGTTGGTGGCAAGGACACTGCCCACAGGGCTGCCAAGTAGAGCATGAGCTGAATCCTGCACAGCTCAGGGGGCATTATTTGCATGCGTAAGGCATGAACTGTACCCATGAGAATGATATAACCTGGTAATTCTGACTGCCCAGCTGCCCCTCCCTGGGAGAGAGGGAAGGAGAGGAAGAGGGAGCCCTTTTCCCTCTTAGGAGCCTTCCAGGGCATCACCACCTCACTTGCCCCAAACTCCCATGTAAGAAAGAACCACATTCCAGCACAGCATAGATGAAGAGATAGTTTTATGGATAACAGTATGGGACAGACTGGGAAGGTGCCAGGGCCTGTAGTGATGAGCTTTCCAGGAATAGACCAACACACAGGCAGGAGTGGCCCAGACAGTCAGATAGAGACAAGGAAACAACCAAATGGGTAAGAGGCCCAGGCCAGGCTCAGCAGCTGTGTCTAGTCGTCAGCCCCAGCTCTGCCCTGGGGAACTGGTGGAGAAGCAGGGCTGGCCAGGGCCTCAGTCCTTGCAGGGCCCCTTTTCCTCACTCCCTACAATCCCTCATCCAGCGTGCTGGGATCCTTGGCAGGAAGAATTCCCAGGGCTATGGATGGTTGGGCTGACTGGGCAGAGGATGAGACTCTTGGAGACTCCCTGGGGAGGTGGAGGCCTGGGTGGTGTGGGGTTAGCAGCAGCACTGGGGGGAATCTGGTCAAGTTCCAGGGTGGGGCCACTGCTCAGCAGGACCCCTGTGTCCAGGGCAGGCCCCCCCGCCTGCCCACACCAACATGGTGCAATAAATAAAGTTTCAAGTAGTAAGTCAGTGTCAAGCAGGAGAGCCGGAGGCTAGCAGACAGGCAGGGGCTGAGAAAGAGAAACCTCCAGCTACCCCCCATGTCCACGCAGTGGGTTCTAGTGGTCACAAGTCTATCTTGTGCACTGGAGTGGGTGACGGGCCCTGATGTCCACATGGGCATTCCCCACAGGGGCTCAGCCCCTCACACCAGTGCCAGAGCCTGCTCAGTGGGGCAGAAGCAGGGCAACATGGTGCCCACAGCGTCCACGATGGCTGCCAGGTGCTCGTCCTGTGCCTGAGGCCCACAGAGCTGCATGAAGTCTGCCAGACGCAGCAAATACTCAAGGTTGTGGCCAGAGAAGCCCCGGCAGGCTAGGATCTGCGTGGCAATGGCCTCTTCAGGCGCAGGGCCCAAGTAGCCAGGGTTCTGTGGGGTGGCCACATATGCCAGTGCCTTCAGTGGTTGGTCAGGAGCATCTTGGGGATAGAAGGTGACCTCCTTGGTATCATAGCCACCAAGCACTGCCTCTCGCACATTCAGGTACTTCAGGGCCTTGCTTACCTGCTCCCCTTGCACCTGGTATGCCACGCCCCAAGTACAGCCCTGGGAAAAAACAAGGACACCCATGGTCAGTTGTCACAGCTCCTTGTTCCTCCCTCTCCTAGCATGTTACTCCCACCCCAGGACTGTGCTCTATAAGGGAGGCTGTGGCTGGCTGATGAGCCATCTGGTGGCAGTACCTCAAGTCCTTGTTCCCCTTTTCTTAAGAAAAGTTGAAAGGCTGGGTGCAATGGCTCATGCTTGTAATTCCAACACTTTGGGAGGCCAAGGCAGGTGGATCACTTCAGGCCAGGTGTTTGAGACCAGTCTGGCCAACATGGTGAAACCCTGTCTCTACTAAAAACACAAAAATTATCCAGGCATGGTGGCACACACCTGTAATCCCAGCTACTCAGGAGGCTGAGGCAGGAGAATTGTTTGAACTCAGGAGACACAGGTTGCAGTGAGCTCAGATCGCAAAACTGTACTTCAGCCTGGGTGATAAGGGCAAGACTCCGTCTTTAAAAAAATAAAAAGGGGCCGGGCATGGTGGCTCACTCCTGTAATCCAACCACTTTGGAGGCCAAGGTGGGTGGATCACCTGAGGTCGGGAGTTCAAGACCAGCCTGACAAACATGGTGAAACCCCGTCTTTATATAAAAAAAAAAATTAAATAAAACAATTAAAAAAAATTAAAAAGGAATAGTTGAGGCTGGGCACAGTGGCTCACGCCTGTAATCCCAGCACTTCGGGAGGCTGAGGTAGGCAGATCACTTGAGGTGAGGAGTTTAAGACCAGCCTGGCCAATATGGTGAAACCCCATCTCTACTAAAAATACAAAAATTAGCTAAGTGTGGTGGTGCATGCCTGTAATGCCAGTTACTTGGGACACTGAGGTGGGAGAATCGCTTGAACCTGGAAGGCTGAGGTTCCAGTGAGCCAAGATCGCACCAATGCACTCCAGTCTGGGCAACAGAGTGAGACTCTGTCTCAAAAAAAAAAAAAGAAAGAAAAGAAAAGTTGACAAAGTGGTCTACTACCAGGGAGGACAGGATTCCTCCTCAAAGTGTGGTCCAGGATGTGGTGGCATTGCTAGTAAGCTTATTAGAATGCTGCATCTTAGGACCCACTCTCATGCTACTGAACTAAGTTCTGCATTCTAACAAGATCCTCATGTGATTTGGTGAGAAGCACTGAACTAGACCATGTTTCTACTCTGCCAGAGAAGCATCCAACAGAGCTAGCCTGCAGCCAAGAGCCTATGAGCTCTATCTGCCCGTTCCCCTTCACACTGGGCCAGGGTCCCCTTCATGATTCAGGCACTTACCTCATGATCTTCAAGGAGCGTCACCACACGGCCAGGCTAGGGAGGGAAGAAAGATTTTGAAACAGACAAGTTAGAAATCAGCTCTGCCATCAGCCAGGAAACCTTTATCAATCCCACTGGCTGGGCCTCAGAGAATCCACTCTGCATGCTGAGAGTCCCACTCATGCAGGGGAAGGTGGGGGACTGATGCACAGATGTAGGAGAAATAGTAAGACAGATGGCAGTTGTCCCAATTGGTGAGCAACACAGGAATCCACAGGTTCACAGACTCCAGCCATCACAGTGATGCACTGGGCACATACATTTAAGCCACAAACCCCAGACACGGGGTCACACATTTCCTTCCACTGGCCCAGAAAGCCCAGGACATTCCAGGGCACTGGCACCAGTATCTCGCCCCCAACCCCCTCACTCCCCTGGGCACGGCTGGATGCTCACCATCTTGTCGCTGCCCCGATGGAAGGTGTCTCCCTGCCAGAAACGGCGGCTGTAGCCGCGCACGAAGCCCACACGGCTGTCGCTGTAGGCGAAGTCGGGCCTCCACACCAGGGAGCCGTACCCAAAAATCCACAGCCCTTGGGGGTCACCGTCGTTTCGGGGGAACTGAGCGGACGGCGTAGGGGATTGCGAGGCGGGCGGGGTATTCGGGGCTGCAGACTCCTGCGTCATGGTGCCGGGCGCAGGGATAGGCCCAGGCGGCCTCCGGGCTGGTCTCCGGCGTGGGCACGGAAAGACCGACGGACGCACACACCTGGCCTGGCACCGCTCGGTCGCTCCAGCTGAGCGCCCCCCATAGAGGCGCCCTTTAAACTCTCTTGCCGGGAGACCACGCCCACCGCGGCCAGCTGCCGCGGTGATTGGGGCGGGGCAAATCCCCTTTGGGCCAATCACCTTCGGATACTGCTTCCCACTTAACCGCGCCCAGGATCCAGCACGCCCGCTGATTGGTTCTCCTCCACCTCTGTAGCAAACCTGGCAGGAGTGATGCAACCGCAGGGGAGGTTTCTCTAGCGTCGGCATGCAGCAAGGGCGCCTCGGATTGCGTCAGGCGGCGGGAAGGGGGCAGCCGCCGGGCACAGGGCGGGCACCGGACGTCTCCCCAGCCGCCCCTTCATTGCCTAGGCCCCTTGGAGGTACGGCGAGCGAGTCCCAGGCGGTGTCTGTCTAGCCGTGCCGCTCGTGCACCTGGCCGAGTCCCTGCCAGCCCAGGCGGCTCGGACTCAGTCCCAGGTCAAGTCCAGGACACGTCCAGAAGGAGCGATCCGGCCGGTGTAAACTTCCGTCTCTGGGGCCCCTCCTGAGAGCATGCGCTGCGGGAAAGCTGACTGAGGCACCCTCCTCATTCCAGTCAGGTGCCTCACGCTGTTGGCCAGTGTGAGCAAATGGAGAAACTGGGTCATGGGGGCTGCAGAGGGTTCTGAAGAGGCTGTGGGGCTGAGTCAGGCCAGGCGCCCGGAGCTTGCAGGCCTCACGTGAGGGCTACGCACGGGACCAGGTGTGGGACCCCTTGAGCCCAGGTAGGCTCAGGGAAGAGCCTGTTAGAGCGCTTGGAACGGCTGGCACTCACCTTGGCTATGGTGTCTGCACCTGTGGAGAGAGGCTGTAAAGATGCGAAAGCCAAACCAGTCTTTCCCCCAAGGCGATGGGTTTAGCTCTTCCTGGGCGTGAGATTTTGCACCAATGATTAATCCTTAGGCATTGAGGTTCCAGGACCTGCGGGCAAGGAAGGTCCAGTGAGGCCTCCACAGGGCTATGGGCAGCTACTGGTCTTCTTCATCGGCTTCTGGCCTCCCAGCCGAGAGTCCACAGGCCGCCTGGGGTTGACCCCCTAAGCAGCAGCAAGGGACTGCCCTCAGGATGTCGCTGACTGTAAAAAGGAAACAGAGGCAGCTGAAGGCCTTCTCCCCAAACTGGCCAGGAGATAGCTGGCAGGGGAAATGTGTAATATGGCTTCTCATTCGATTCTAATTCAATATTTAAACTAAACATGATCTGCACACTTCACATATTCATTCCAAAGGTGTCTCAGATATGTGGGAAAGTTGCACAACAGTGTATAGTATGAAGCTATTTCTTAAAAAGCTACACATTAGTGTCCATGTAAGAAATAATCTGGAAGAATATACCTAAACTGTTAGCCAGAGGAGGACTTTCAGTATCAAACTTCGGCATTAATGAAGTCTAGATTTTTACAAGGAGTGTAAATTACTTTTCCAATCGGAAAGGCAAAATGGTCCTTTCTTTTTCTCTTTCTCTCCATTCCCCACATTCAGTCTCCCTTCTTCTCTTCTATCCTGTCCCCTTTAGTTCATATGAGCACTTTCTTGGTTGGTAGCTTCTTAGAAGAATGTTCTCTTCTCCACTCACCAACTGTGGGTAGTACGGTGGGAAGTGGAAAATGTATCCACACATTGCTGAAGTATCTGAATTGGCATAAACAAGCCTTTGAGAAAGCAGCTTGGTGATACAAATCAAGAATCATAAAATATCCCTGCCCTTTGACCCAATGCTCCTCCAGGAAATTATTCAAAATATGGGAAAAGCCATATGCCTGAATATTTTCAATGCGTTGTTACTTTTCTTTGTAATGGGGTCTCCCTCTGTTGCCCAGGCTAGAGTGCAGTGGTGTGACCTTGGCTCACTGAAACGTCTGCCTCCCGGGTTCAAGTGATTTTCCTGCCTCAGCCACCCTAGTAGCTGGGATTACAAGTGCCTGCCACCATGCCTGGCTAATATTTGTGTTTTTAGTAGAGACAGGGTTTCACCATATTGGCCAGGCAGATCTCGAACTCCTGACCTTGTGATCCGCCCACCTCAACCTCCCAAAGTGCTGGGATTACAGGTGTGAGCCACTGTGCCCAGCCATTACTTATTATATAGCAAAAACAAAAGAAGAAAAACTACTTAAATATCCAAAAATAGCTAAATGTTTAAGGAAATTATGGTCAATTCACGTTCACATGACAGAAAAATGCACACACACAAACACACACACCACAGAGGAAACAACCTAAATATCCAGCAATAGATAATTAGTTTCATAAATATGATATGGTCCATTAAATTTGTGCAGACATTAGAAACAATTATATATATATGTCAGGCCGGGTGCAGTGGCCTAGCACTATGGGAGGCCAAGGTGGATAGATTACCTGAGCTCAGGAGTTTGAGACCAGCCTGGGCAACATGGTGAAACCCTGACTCTACTTAAAATACAAAAACAATTAGCTGGGTGTGGTGGCAGGTGCCTGTAATCTCAGCTACTCAGGAGGCTGAGGCAGGAGAATTGCTTCAACCTGTGAGGTGGAGGTTGCAGTGAGCCAAGGTCACACCACTGCACTTCCGCTTGGGCAACAGAGCAAGATTCTATCTCTGAAAAGAAAACGAAAAAGAAAAAACAGCATAGTAAAAATGTGTATGATTGCATATTAAAGCAAAAATGCAAAATATAAATTTTCACATGTACTATGATTAAAACTTAAAAACAGTAACAACATACATGAGGAATAAAGATAGGGCAGCACCAGATACTAGTGTGTTGGCATTGTGAGCAGTTCTTTCCTCTATTTTCCAAGCTTTATGAAACGTAATTTTTTAATAATAATTTTTGCTGGGCACAGCTCTAATCCCAGCACTTTGGGAGACCAACTGTATAGTTTGAGCTGAGGAATTTGAGACGAGCATGGGGAACATAATGAAACCTCATCTCTACAAAACTTTTTTTTTTTTTTTTGGGAGGAAGGGAGGAAGGCAGGAAGGGAGGGAAGGAGGAAGGGAGGAAGGCAGGAAGGGAGGGAAGGAGGAAGGGAGGGAGGAAGGCGGGGAGGGAGGGAGGGAGGGAAGGGAAGGAAGGAAATCAAGCAATGAGAAAGACATTGCCGACCTGGATCTAGAAGTTTACAAGTTGATTTCTTTTTTTTTGAGAGAAGGAAATAAAAAAAAAATGAGTAAAGGAGAGGAAGAAAGAGGAAGAGAAAGAGGGAGGGTGAATGGAACTATTGCTTTATTCTGAAAAAAAAATGGGTATTAATAATGGCCAATCAATGTTTCATTTAAACCTATGAGTAGGTGTGATGTGGTATTGACAAGAATGTATATTTTGTGTATTTGAAGTGGGGAGCTCTATAAATATGTATTAAGTTTACTTGTTCTGGATCTGAGTTCGAGTCCTTGATATCCTTATTAATTTTCTGTCTCAATAAATCTAAGTCTCTATGTATCTGGGTGTTAGGATCGTTAGCTCTTGTTGTTGCATTGATCCTTTTACCACTATATCTTTGTTGCTTTAAAATCTATTTTATCCGATACGAGAATTGCAACTCCTGCTTTTTATTTATTTATTTATTTATTTTTGCTCTGCATTTGGTTGGTAAATCTTTCTCCAACCCTTTGTTTTCAGTCTTTGTGTATCCTTGCATGTGAAACAGGTCTGGATGTAACATGCCGTTGGGTTTTGGCTGTGTCTTTTGATTGGGGGATTTAGTCGATTTAAATTTAGGGTTACTGCCATTTGATGTTAACTGGCTGTTTGATCCATTCGTTGATGTAAATTCTTCTTTATGTTGGTGCTCTCTACTTTTTGGTATATTTTTAGAAAGGCTAATACTGGTTGTTTCTTTCTATGTGTAATGCTTCTTTCAGAAGCTCTTGTAAAGCAGGCCTGGTGGTAATAAAATCTCTGAGTACTTGCTTGTTCATAAAAGATTTTATTTTTCCTTCAGTTGTGAAGCTTAGTTTGGCTGGATATGAAATTCTGGGCTGAAGGTTCTGTTCTTTGAGGATGTTGAATATTGGCCCCCACTCTCTTCTGGCTTGTAGAGTTTCTGCTGAGAGATCTGCTGTAAGTCTGATAGGCTTGCCTTTGTGGATAACCTGACCTTTCTCTCTGGCTGCTCTTAGTATTTTCTCCTTCATTTCAACCCTGGTGAATCTAACGATTATGTGCCTTGGGGTTGCTCTTCTTGAGGAATATCTTTGTGATGTTCTCTGTATTACCTGGGGTTGAATATTGACCTGCTTTGCTAACTTAGGAAAATTTTCCTGAATAATATCCTGAAGGGTATTTTCCAGCTTGGATTCATTCTCTCCGTCGCATTCAGGTACACCTATCAAACGTAAATTTGGTCTTTTCACATAGTCCCACATTTCTTGGAGACTTTGCTCATTCCTTTTTATCCTTTTTTCTCTAATCTTGTCTTCTTGTTTTATTTCATTAAGTTGGGCTTTGACCTCTGATATCCTTTCTTCTGCTTGAACAATTCGAGTGTTTAAACCTGTGCATACTTCTCGGAGTTCCTGTATTGTATTCTTCGGTTCCATTCATTCACTTATATTCCTCTCTAAGTTGTCTATTCTCAATAGGATTTCATTAAACCTTTTTTCAAAGTTCTTAGTTTCTTTACGTTGGGCTACAACATGTCCTTTTAACTCACAGAAGTTTCTTACTATCCATTCCCTGAAGCGTGATTCTGTTATTGGGATGTGCTTGTTCTCCATCAAGCCTTGTTCCATTGTTGATGTGGAACTGTGATCATCTTTAGAGGGAGAGGAGTTCTGATTTTGAGTATTCTCAGCCTTTTTAAGCTGGTTTCTTCCCATCATTGTAAATTTATCCTCCTGTCGTCTTTGAAATTACCAACTTTCAGATTAAGTCTCTTGAGTGGACGTTCAAGTTGTTAGTTCCCAGGACCAGAACAGCGGCGTTAAGACTGATGGTGCTTTTCTGCCCAGGATTCTCCTGTCTGGCTTCCTTCTTGTGTCCGTAATAGGCGACTCTGCCTTCCCCGGGCTCCAAACCTGGGTCAGAAGGGGAACCAGTCTCGTTTACTCTGCGCTGAGAGCTGCCGCGCCGAGGTGCCGTCACAGCTGCTGAGCCGGCCTCAGGAGTTGTGCTGGGGACCCATGTGGGTCCTCCAAACCTCGGTCAGAAGGGGAGCCGGCCCTGTTTACTCTGCTCCGAGAGCTGCTGCGCCAAGGTGCTGGCGAAATCGCTGCGCCGGCCACAAGAGTCGAGCTGGCGA